ACATCAATGTCTCTTAATCTTCAGAAACATCAAAGAAAGGAATACCGGGCAATAGCCCTTAATTTTATAAAAATAATTGAGTAGGGAATACCCGACAACTAATATACAGAGCAAAGGCCCTTAACTCTTAAAAAAAAAAAAAAAACAACAACATTATTATGCTATATCGAACTTAATAACATGTAGTTATCAAGCCTCAGATATTTACCACGTGTTTCTTATGAGGTGTAAAGAAGAACTGAAAAAACCTTTTTTAGTTATTTGGTAATTATCTGCATATTTAGTTGAAAGCTAACGGTATAGCTAAATTATACATTTTTACAGTGACTGGAGTCTCTAATTTGAATTATACGTCATTTACGAGATAAATAGAGAAACTCAAAAAGTGACTATCCTGATAATTGTAGGGTAAATAGCTTAATTGACAGTGAACCTAACTAATACGTGTTTACCAAGATAGATATCTCAAATTTGTACCATATATTCCTAAAGGGATAGAAAAAAAACTGAAAAAGCTTCTTTACGAAAATTTGTAATTATCGGGATAATTAGACAAATTTATATAGTCATGCTAAATAAAATGGTACTACCATGTGTTTCGCACAGCATAGCCGATTGCAGCTTTTGTGCCATTAAATCACGAATATGTGAGTTCATGAAGGTGGACTACTGTGTGGACTTGCTTGGCCACCACAGGCAAGTCCGAGAAAGAATACTACCCCTCCAATCTTCTCTTAAAATATTAATACTGAGGATTCAGAGCAATACTGCCAAAGGCGGAAGGAACGCTAAGAGCCGCAAAAAGGTCAGTTCGTGCAGGTGAAAGACAACGTTTATCCACAAAGTGGTGAATTCGTGCAGTCGTATCAGCAGGGTCGTCGCAGGCTGCTAGTATTGGCAGTTGTGAGCGAGTAGGCAGTTGTGGCGTGGACATGTAAAAGAAAACAATATCTTAAGTACATTTGTTTTTCATTTAAATGAAAATCTGCAGACTAAGTTTAAATCAGTTCCAACGATTAAGAAGTCAGTTGAGAAGACTTATCTTTTTCCATACTTGAAACTACAGTCGGATACTGTTACAAAGTTGATACTATTTCGATAATGTCAATATCTTTCACTCTGTTTTGAATAATTTATGTCATAAACAAACCTAACATAAACAAATCTAACCATTTATTACATTTAGTTGTCCGTAATTAATAACTTTAAGACATAAAGGAAAAAAACTTTTAGCGACATTTTTACTAATTAAAGAAAACCAGCTTTGGAACGTAAAATATATTTCCTTATTTAATTTCATTTAATTTATGATGAATCTTTAACAAGAAAACTGCACAAAATTTTCCGTTTCTGGACTGAAAATCGGCAAACTATTATAGACACCAGTGATGCTTAATTAATTGTTGTAACAGACACCAAATATATTAAAATAGATACTGCTGTAATATGTGCTCTACGATCTCTCGAAACGGGGTAGAACCGTATGAATGAAGGATTCCTCAGAATGTATGTCTCATAATTATGAGAATTTTGTTTGAAAATTAGTAGCACGATTCATGCAAAGCTAGATTTAAAAAATTAAATAAGCCAGAAAAACAAGCTCAAATGGCAAAGCGATCGGAAAAGAGCAGTGAAAGCTATTACGGGGGCACTGTGGTCGGTGCAAGCCCGATGCGGAATTCGTATCGACCAGCCATCGCTGGATTTCGAACCCGATTCACCTCATTGGAAGGCGAACGCTCTATCCCCTGAGCCATCACGGCTCCATCGTTACTAATTGATGTATAACTTATTTCATTCTGGTTGTGTAATATCTCGTCAGTCAGCTTATAAATCTGGACGTAACACGTAGTAATCACGCATTTCGAGCTATGTCCATTGTCGTAAACATGGAATTTCGAGTTATGACCGTCCCGTAGTGGACTGATCGAGAGGACACGGTTCCCAGCAGATCACCGAAATCAAGCATCACTGTCTACGGTCAGTGAGCGGGTGGGTGACCACTTGGATCAGTCTGCGTAGGGACCAAGGATGTGCGGTATTGGTCCTCGTTAAACTGTGCTACCGTAAAGTGCTCGACTTCGCGCGCAGGTCGTCGGGCTACCGAAGCGGCGGTGCCATCCCCTCCGCAGAGGATCAAAATTGTGATGGCATGTCTTCGGATCATTCTCCGGGATGTTTCCCAGATCGTCGCCAATAACCAATTGTGCAGCTCTAGTGCGACGTAAATTAACAACAATAACAATCGAGTTATGACCATTTTCATAAACACAGTGCAGTGTAAGAAAAAACTACATAATTTTTGTGGTTAATGGTTGGTTCTAATGCCACTTGCCACACGGACAAGCCTGCTTGGGGAAACCAATCAAATTTAAGGCAGAGTGTGCGATTCTTGTTTTTCAAGGGCGCCATCTATGGCCAAGAATTCGACTTCTGCCACATCATACGTCACACCTGTTTATAAGTCGGACCCATTCATTCATCCACAGATCGTAATTTTGACCTGAATCAGAGAACGATCGATCTCCAATCCAGCGCCCCCAGGGGTATTGATTTGTTATGGGAACATGGAGGACTTTGAGACTCGACAGAATTTTAACGTGCATCAGTCACCAACTACACGGGGAGTCTTCGGCCGGCGGGGTTCGAACCTATGAACTCTCGGACATGGGCGCAGAGCCCTACCGACCAGGCTATATCGTGGCCCTTTTTGTGGTTTATATCTACAACTACTTTGTTACAAATGTAATTAACTACAACTACAATTTTTTTTAATGTTGTGACTACAAATTATTTTCAAAATTTTTAACTACTTCACTACTTTAAGGAGACGAATTTTGCTGGAGAACTTAATATATATCTATGCTCAAAAGGGTTTTGAATAAAAAAAAATGGTTTATATTCATGTTTACATGAATTTTTTTATTTAACTTTCTTCTTAAGTGTTTCTCGAGAGCCAATATTTAGTTCAAGAAATGCTACGAAATTATTAAATGTTAGTAATTTTGCTAAGTATTTATTACTTTTTAATTTTCTCTAAGAAATTAAGTACATCAAAAATATTTTTTTTTTCCCTTTGAAATAATATCAATGTTTGACGAGTGTACATTCGCATGTGAAAGTGCAGCCAAAGGGATAAATGATCTATTATTTGTAATGACTAATTTAAATATTAATTATTCGTAATTCTAAATACTTTATTCTAGTTAACGCTCAACTATAGTCAGAGGGGCATTTTCTTTGCTTCCATTTACGGATCCGCAAAGACCCATCAAATTCGAAAAATTTATTGCGGTAGAGCTTTTATTAAGCTAACGTTAAAAGTAGCTGCCTAGAATCGGTACAAACTACTGTTTTTTTACGAACTACTGTTTTACTACAACTCACTACCCTTCTTTTTCTAAAAAGTAGCACACTAGCGACAACAGTAGTTTTACAGTTTGTAGTGCGCTACTTCCGACCCCTGATTTCGAGCTTTGTCCGTTTTCGTAAACACGCATTTCGAGTTACATACATTTCGCAAACGGGAACTGTCCTTGCATCAGAAAGGTTCTGAGTTCGAAACCCGGGCAAGGCTTTGATGTTTCTTTCTCTCTATTTGTGTTCTATGTCCTTTCTCCTTTGTGTGTGAATGTGACCCGCCCTATAAGCGGGTTGTGGTAGTGCGACGTGGGCGACGCTGCTCCACCGCCGTAGCTTCGCCACAGGTGCCCACTGGGTAACGAAAAGAGAGTTAGCAGCTCTGACACTTTCTATGGCCAATGGACAATAGTTCCAAGTGCCCGCCATTAAAAAAAAAACATTCCGCAAACACGTTGTTGTTGTTAATTTACGTCGCACTAGAGCTGCACAATGGGCTNGCCCACTGGGTAACGAAAAGAGAGTTAGCAGCTCTGGCACTTTCTGTGGCCAATGGACAATAGTTCCAAGTGCCCGCTATTTAAAAAGAAAAAAAACATTTTGCAAACACGCATTTTGGGCCCAGATTTAAAAGCTCTTTGACGATATTTATTTACTAAAAATAGTAAAGCACACCAGATAAACCCATAAACTTTTATCTTTTGTTATATGAATCTATTTTGCATCGAAGTTGCCAGTACACAAGGTTACAAAAAAATATGTAAACAAATAAGAAATCTAATTTAAATAAAAGACGCAGACGAGAACGAATTATATTTCAACAAATTCCATGTTAGATACGGCACTGTATTTAATTAACTTCACATTAATTGAAGTTCTAACTTATGTGGGGAAACTTAGCTCAATTTTAGCACGCCATTTTGCTTATCAACGATCAGCTGGCACTTCCGTCATATATGAGGGTATTGTGATTTTCTTCTTCCTGGAGTGCAAGTACCTACTAATTACCATCGAGAATGAATTAAAATCTCATTGATACGAAAAATTGGTTCCCTTTCAGGTTTCCCTTTTCTTTTGACTATGACCAAAAATCGCTTGCAGTAAAAACAGTGTCACAGACTTAAAACATTGCCTTTGCGTGCAATTGCCCTAGATGTGAGACCGAATGCTTATTGGCGATCGCAACACTCGAATACGCCATCAGGGGAGAGACCGTTTTCATACCTTTAGCCCTTCTCCCTTCCCTCTCCTCCTCTTTTTAGTTGTATAGGAATGTACTACGATATTTTCCCTTTTCTTAATATTTTTCCTTTTTATTTAATAAAAATATTTTTTTAAATTTAAGTGATACTTTTCTTTAGAACTATGTTTAATGTAGTTTGAAGTTCCATATAGTTTTCCAACTTAAAAGATTTTAATCTATATGAAAATCAAGAAAGAAACTAACATACTTCCTTCCTCTATGACTTTCCGCACGCTAATGAGGAAAACATGTGAAGTGTTGCCCTAGGTAAAGAGCTCTGCTCTACGCCACCTGCAGCCCATTTCGATCGCCAATAAACTGCATGTAAGGAGGGCTGTTTGCTAAGCTCGTCTAATTGCACAGGCGAATCGCATGTAACGAGAATGCTTCATGCGAATGTTACCACATTTTACTGCATGTGATTTGTGCCGCGTTTGCCGAAATTTTCCCTTGTTCATAAGGAGATATTGGAAGCAGTGAAAACAGTCGTTGGAAAATATTTTTCGTTTACGCATCAAAGCTTCCGCTGAGCAAAAATAATCATTTATTTATTTAATCAATCAATCAATTTAATAAAGGGACCGTATTTATGTTTGTCCGAATAACAATTTATAAAACATGATGAATGTACTTAACAAATTTTCAAAACCTTATTCATTATGATTATCTAAAATGAATGTGCCATCAAATTATGATTATAAATTGAAAAGTGAAGGCGAGCATCTTATAATTAAGAGTATTGAAGATAAAGCTTCGGCACCGGTTTGTAGCATATTCATGATTTACTTTTACATTTTTGTACACTAAAACTCCCTGCTTGAAGATATTTTTTGGTGCATCAAAAATCACATCTTAAAAAAAGCTTCCATGTTCGGCATCTCTCTTTTATTACATTAAAAATAAAGCTGTGCTTGTTTTTTGATAATCATTGTAAAGTTTTTTGTTTCTAAAGTATGCATGTCTGCATTTGGAGTGGCCATTTAATGTTAAAAATAGTACCCCATTTTCTTATCTATATAGATTATAGAATAAATTTTTTACTAGGTTTAAAAAATAAACTAGCATAAAAATTTATGAAAGTAAATATAGGAGAATACATATTAAATACCACTTCCTTTTTATGTACTAATTTTAGTCATTACTGTAACTTTAACCCTTAAATAATAAAATCTTAATAAATTTGAAAAAATTTAGAAATTTAATTTTAGTAAGCTGAAAATCAAACATAAATAAAAACATATAAAAATTTAAGTTTGTTGCATTTATAGACCTCTAATAATTATTTTAAGATTACAAATTCTTTTATTTGTAGTGTGAGTCATAAGTAATGGTAATATTATTATAAAAGTCTTGAAACATATTGACTTTTATTACCATTTTCATATTTTTTTTTTTTTAGCCACTGAAGTTCTTAATCAGGCATATGTGTCCCCTTCAGTTTCCTGTGGTTATGCATTTTACATTGATTAATCTAATTGGTTACAGCTATTGGTTATTTAGAAACCAAATAGAAAATTGCTCTGATACTCATAATAATAATCCTGTAGCTTGATTTCTGTAGTCTTTAAATCAAACATCTGCAGAAAAAATATTGGTTTTTTCCTAATTGCATTTATGGACCTTTCATATTTTAATTGTTTCTTTTTATATGCCTGCAATTTTGTTTTCATTTAGAATAAAGTCATGTATACAAGTATGAATTACATAGAAACTTAACCGTAAATGTATGTTATGAATAAAGTTAAACAATGTGAAAATAAAATATATAATGCTACATAACATGCATAGCTGGCTCTTTTCAAGCTTTGAACCTTACTAATCATTGCCCAATGTTAACCCACCCTCTCTATAGCTATGTTTTAATGATTGTATAAATTGTAAATGTACTTTGCCTCTAACTTTTAAAATATTTAACTCCTTTCTTTGCAAAGATAAAGGATGGTGAAAAGAGGGTGACTAATTTTTTAGTGATATTTTTATTTGTAGATAAGGTATTAAAAAAAAATAGGTATGATTTGTAAATGGTGGAAAGTTGCATATATTTTCCTATAGAATTTAATGTAGAAAAAAATGTTTTTTTTTTTAAATATATAAAAATTTGCATCTAGTTTGTAGAGATAGAGAATAAAATTTCAGGGCCTTAATGACTATCCACGTTCTGATCCGTTTAGCAGAGAAGGCACATAATGGTTTATTCATAGAAGATTCACAGGGAATTAAATATATGTCCATAATGAGAACCACCCACTTTGTAGAAGTGTTAGTAATGGGAGGTTTCACTGTATATGAATATTGTCTTATGCAATTCCATTTGTTAACAACTCTCACAATTCCAAAAGATATTTTACTTATTACTATTCATGATTTTTTTTATCTCTTTCAGAAATGGATTGATGAGTTTTCTGAAAGCTCTCTAATAACTTCGAGAACGTACAAAACTTATCCCGTTTGCAGAAAATATCAATTCAAAAAGATTTTTAGATGTCGTTTTAATACCTGTATCATCAGAAAGGAAGTAAATCAAAATGCACCTACTAAGCGATATTCAAGAAATACTGACTATCCAGTTACAATGATGTTTTGTTTGTTACAGTAATTATTAATTTATTTTCATGTTTACTGAATTGTTATTTTGTTGAAGAAAAAGGTACTATATTTTGTAAAAAATATATTGTTGAATAGTTTTAGCCATATACTTTTATAATTTGTCTATTTATTTTGTTCAAGAAAAAGGTACGATATTTAGTAAAAAATATGATTGCTGAATAGTTTTAGCCATATATTTTTATAATTTACATATTTATTATTTCAATTTTATACAAGCATGTGATCATGGTTTTTAACCTACCTTTACAAATGACATTTTATTTATATTTGTAAGCATAATATAAAAATTTGGTTGTTATTTGACTTTTCAGCTGATGTTACTTAAGTGAGAACTTCAAGAAAGCCAGAACTGATTTTGTGACTTTCAAAATAATGTGATAGATTGGTACATTTCCATTCCATTAAAAACTTGGAAAATTTGTTTCAAATCGAAATATTTCTCATTTTGTGAGTCTTTGTCATGGTGAAGATACAATGTAAAATATTTACAATCTTTGGACGCATTTCACAAAAAGCAGAGATTGTTTATAATATTATTAAATTAACATTTCTTTCACTGTTTTACAATGAATTTGCTGATAAATATTACATTGGTGATTCATGCATGGAACCAATGTTCTGGTTTGTTGATCATTTCACAAAAATTCTTGGACCTATTTGTGTGATAGCTGTAATTTTGTTGACCTCATCATTAATAGTTATCGCATATGCAATTGGTCTTCCATTTTACTCAAATCAGAATGTATTCATTTTCCTACTTGCACTATTTCTTGGTCATTGGCTTCTTTTAAATGTTGTGTTTTATTATTACATGGCATATACTACTGATCCTGGTTATCCTCCTCAAGGAGCTATGATTACTGATGCTGTGTCTATTTGCAAAAGGTGCATTGCACCAAAACCACCACGAACTCACCATTGCAGTGTTTGCAACCGGTGCATCTTAAAAATGGATCATCATTGTCCGTGGCTCAATAACTGTGTCGGCCATTTTAACCATCGATACTTTTTAATGTTTTGTGCTTATACTTGGATTGGAGTAGTATTTTGCGTTATATTTGGGTTACCTGTTTTTATCAATCATTTCTTTGGCCCTGCTGAGTATAGTTTCTCTCCCCTCCTTATAAACTTTATAAAAACAATTCAATTTAGCCTGAAGCCCCAAATGTTACAAGAAGCATCTGAATATGATATCCATACTAATTCTACTGACAAGTGGGTTGCTACCTTGTATCATTCTTGTTTTATCTATGCTGCTCTTTTGGTTGTTGCTGTTTTATGCGTCCTTGGTGGACTTTTGGCTTGGCATGCAAGACTGATTTCTAATGGTGAATCAAGCGTTGAAGGACACATTAACAAGAGAGAGAGGAAAAGGTATCTCAAGGAAGGTAAAATATATAAAAATCCATATGATTTCGGTGTAGTTGAAAATTGGAAGATTTTTTTGCGTGTTGACAGCCTTGGATCTTGGTGGCGAGTACTTTTACCATACACTAATCCTCCATTTGGTAATGGAATTCAATGGAACTTTCCAAACATTGAAGAGCAAAAAATTAATTATCTTGATAAAGAAGTTATAGAAGCTTGTTTTGTTAAGATGGCTTGATTCCTAAAAAAGAAGAAATTACTTTTATGATACATTTAACTCTGATTGTCTTGGATCATGGTGGCAATTAAGTATACTCTGAGGCACCATTTGGGAGTGGAATCCTACAGAACATTCCAAACTTTGAGGAGCCCAGCAAGAGATTAGTTTGATAACAAAATTATAGAAGCCTATCTAGTTAAGGTATCTTAATTCGAAAAACAAAAAATTAACTAACTTCCAGGGCAGCAAGGCAACTCCAGGGCAATTCATATGATTTCAGTGTCATTGATAATTGGAAGATTTTTTTACATGTCGACTGCCTTAGATCCTGGTGATGAGTACTTTTACCATACACTGATCCACCATTTGGTAATTTAATTCAACTTTCCAAGTATTGAAGTGCAAAAAATTAATTATTTTGATAAAGAAATTATTGAAGCTTGTTTTATTAAAATGGCCTGATTCCTTTTTTTAAAAAAAAAACTTTATTTCAACGTAGCAAGTATTTTTATGATATACTAGCTCTGTCTGTCTTGGATCTTGGTGGCGAGTACTTTTCTGTACTCTTAGACACCATTTGGGAGTGAAATCCTACGGAACATTTCAAACATCAAGGAGAGCACAGCTGAAGATTAATAATCTTGATAAAGAAATTATGGAAGCCTGTCTAATTAAGATGGCTTAATTCCAAAAACAAAACCAACAAAAAAACATAACTGTCATGGTAGCCAGTACTTTTGTGATACATTAACAGGACATCTTAGAATACTATTAAATATAGTATTGAATTACAAATAAAAGAGTTAAAGATTAAATGATAAGGATATAAATGACTTGATATTTGTAAGGTATTGGAGAAAATGTCTTTAGTTTTAATTTTTATAATACAAGGGCATTGTTATCCTTTGATGTAGTTTGTGGCATTATTTAATCATATGCAGTAATTACAATTTATCAGTACATTAGGGTTCTGCTTGTTACATGATATTTTGACACACAAAATTTTTTTCTGTTAGATATTCTATGTCTGTGCAGTGTTTTATTTTCAGAATATTTTGACCATATACTTTCTTTGACTAAGCAGTATTAATTTATTTTACCTTTTGAAATTAGCCAAAAACAAACTATTTTTAAAAATTACACAAAAAGAAGTAGTTGTATACAAGTGGCTTTTTTTTTCTCCTTTTGAAAAAATTTCTTTATCTTGAAAAATTGTTTTGGAAAAAATTGTATATACAGTGTCTAATAATTGAGACTTCATTGCATGTTTGATTTGTGTAAAAAGCATACATGTGTTTTGGAAAAAATACAACGACATTAAAAAGCAAAAAAATATTTGTGATAATCTTTAATATTGGCCTATAAATAGATAAACTCTTAATTTAACAGTCAAAGGTGTCTTCAATTTTATCAACAAAAAAAATAGAAAAGTTTTTTTTACATTGTTAAGATTAATTTTTTTTTTGGTATTAATTTTATTGAGAACTATTTTCTGTTACTTTTCCATTTAATTTTAATTTTGTCAGCTGATGCTCAATAAATCAAAAACTACATTCTATAAAATATTTGTCTCTGTAAATTGAGATTGTTTTTTTCCTGCACACTTCTCCTTATATTCTGCCATTTCTTCCATTTTCTACAAATTTATTGCATCTTATTTTAGTACTTAAACAGTTTTATTGATTCATTGAACATAAAAAAATAATAATTTTTGATAATTTACAAGTTTTTTAAACTTGTATCTACTGAAGATAGAAATCTAATACTTAAATTTGCTTGTTTTCAGTTCCCTTAAAAAAAATCATAAATTTGTAATTGCAATGGCACAGTAGTTAAGGCACTGAACTATCATTATGAAGTACTGGGATTCTACCCTTAATGGCAGCTGAAAGCTCACCCAGTTTCATATTGATGGCAATTCTGGCTACTTTGCTATCATTGTGCCATTGTGCACAAAATTGTAATCTTGAGCCTTCATAACATCCCTGAACTACAAGGAGCTGTTGAAGGATACCTTGTTTTAAATAAATTTGTCTTACCTATTAATATTAAACTCATCAATAAATATTTAAGTGAGTCATTCACGCATATAAATAAATTTGTAACTGCAATAGCACAGTAGTTAAGAGACTGAGGTATCATTATAAAATACTGGGGTTCTGTCTTCAATGGCAGCTTAAAGCTCACCCAACTTCAGATCAATGAGTTCCAGCTTGCCAGAGAAGTAAAGATGGTTAGTGTGCAAATCTGACTACTTCTTATCATAGTCACTAAATTGTAGAGACTTAACCTTCATGGTACAAGGAGATGTTGAGGAATACTTTGCTTTGAATAAATTTGTGTTATCTATTTATTTCAAACTCACCATAAAAACTTTAAGAGAATCATTCTGTCATTTCTTCCATTATGTACAAATTTGTATAGCTTTAGTACTTAAACAATTTCATTGTGTGATTTGTAAATAAAAAATGTGTGAAAATTAAATATCAAGTTTCTTGAAATTTCGTCTCATAGTGATTGAATTCTAATAATTAAATAATAAAGAACTAGCATTTAATTTTTGCTACAAAAGATAAATTACTTTGTTACATATAGTGTTTCTGTTGGCATGTTTTCTGATTGTACAATCGAAACTCTTGCAAGAATTATTATTAGTTTCATCTGCTTCAACCTAATATAAGTGTAGAAACCTACATGCATTCATACAATTGAGATCTTCTTAAAAATGAGCTAAAGAGCTTTTAGCTTTTGCAGAAAGGACTAGTTCAAAAAATGTTTAATTTTAAATTAGTCACATCTATCAAATTTTTCAAGCTATGTTATAATGGCCCCTGTCATCCAATTTAAAACTGCATCATAATGTGGATTACTTAATACTATATCCCTATAAATTTTACTTGAAACTTACATTAGATCTATTGTAATACAATTGTCTTGCGTATTTGAATTAAATGGTAAAAATATAAAACAAAGTCATTCTGGTAAAAGCATATAGAGAACTTGTTTACTGTGTGAAATCTGAATGTATTGATGCATAATAAAATGCACCTTCTAATATGATCCACCATCTAATATTGATGCATAATAAAATGCACCATCTCCTTTTGGGATTGTATTAAAATAATGTAAGCATGAACTTAGAACTAGAAAAATGTGATCCATATTTACAGAATCATATAAAGGTAAATTAAAACTACAGATTAATTTTAAATAGCCTTACTTGTTTTAATTTTATAAAACAAGTAATGCTATTAAAATTATCCTTTAAATACATGATAATAGATATTTATTTTTGATAAGGAAATCCAGAAAATGTATAAAATGTTTAAGCTAAGCTTAAATTTATATCAGTAAAATTGAAGAGGAAAAAAATATTCTGTGCCGAGATCCTAAAGAAAAAAACTCATGTGTATTGCAGACTAAAAGTTTTAAAAGAAAAAATATATATTGTCTATCGAAATATTGTGTAACATCTGAGTAACAACAAAATAAGAAACAACATGAATATGTCAACCTTTGAAATGGGATAAGCATTTCCCAAATAAGTGATATGCATTATTCCTCTTTAAAAGAAGTCTACAAAATAGTATAAATAATTATTCTAAGAATTTCTTTTAATCTTTATATCGAATAAATTCTTCGCAAAAGATAATGATCAGTTTGGATAATATCAATCATAAATATTTTTGCATTTATTAAGTGAAAATGGATGATACTCTTACAGTGAGAAGGTTATTGTCTGTATAGTAGAAAGGGGAGTTATGTTGCTTTATTTGTGTTTATCTTTATCATTTTTGTTTTATCAATGTTGCAGTATCAAAATTATGACAAAACTTAAGATTAAAAATGCAAAAATTATGACACAAACTTATTAGCATTTTGATAATTTATGCTATCAGTAATTAACTGCTATTGTATATTTTCACCAGAAAATAAAATTTTCACTTTATTAAGGACTAATAACCATCAATATTTTTTACTTTAGAGGTTCATTTATCCCCACGAGAGGTGAGTTTACAATTTATTTTTTTTTTAATATTTCTTGAAATAAAAATTACACACTAACTAATTCCTTAAAATAAATTTTAAAACATTAAAAATAGCAATCTCTTAACTTTTTTTTTTATTGACATTTTTTTTTCTTTATGCCAAAAAATGGTGAAACAATATGCAATGTATTTTCCAAAGGACTACATAACTAATATTCACACACCAACTGCTTTGCTCAACCGGCCTATGAGAGTGGACACAAAAAAGGCTGCTCTAAACTACTTTGACAAGGGACATTTCCCTAGCATTGCATTTGTTACACACAGTGTCCTTTTGATGTCCAAATTAGGTGAAAAATTTTCCCGTGTTAAATATGATAGATCTGTGCTTCCAAATCGTTCTAGATTGAATCTCATTTATAGCAATGAAAAATTCGGCCCTACTACTGTAGAACATTTAGTAAATAATGTAACATGTTATTTAAAACCACTAAAGGACAGAGGCTATAACGCTGCTTTGTCCAAGTTACAGGATGAATATATTGTTGCTATATGTACCCCCACTATGTTGAGAGCTCATTTATTGCCAGAAGCTCAACAAACAATTGCATTAGACATTTCAGACTATAAAGATAAATTGAAAGGTTGTTCTAGTTTGATATATATTCACCACTTATACTAGTTTTGGTGCAAGCATTTCATTAGGTTCTGTTATAACAGAAACAGCATCTCTTGATACTTTTCACGAGGGACTTAGAATTTTTCTTGAAGATTTTGAAATATTTGCTTATTCATCACAATACATAATGACAGATGGAGATGAAAAACTAGATCTTCTGTTAGGGGAATGTTTCCCAGGCTCTACTTTTCTAATTTGTACATACTATTCATTGAGATAAATGTGGAACTGGCTTTTAATGAAAGTAAAATTTTTCCTCCTGATGCTAGGCAGACTTTGTATTATCAGTTCAAAAGGTTAGTGTATGCTAAAAGTAAGAAAGAGTTAAATGAGTTGAAACAAGATCTTCTAACGGATATTCCCTATTTAATGAACACTTTAGGCAATTAAATCAGCAACGTGAAAATTGGACACATAATTTTCGAAACAATTTTAAATTCAGAGGTTACAAATGCAATAACCCCTCTGAATTAGCTTTAAGACTATTTAAGGATATTCCTTTCCAAAATGTAAAAACTTTCACTCAACTTGTTGATTTTATAGCAACTACATTTGAATTATATTACATCCAAAAGTGTATCAGTGCTGCGAACAGCAGTGTAACATTGAACAATATGCACATTTGTGCTCAGCATCATCGAATCGAAGATACAACATATTTAAAGTTTTTGTTGGTAAGGATCAATTTGAGGTAGACATGACTTAGTATATGTACTTGTGAGCTAAGTAGATACGGTAGACTGTGTGATAATAAACATTCTGTCATTCACAAGTTTGAATTGGTATCAATTATTAATGGTATTGATGATGGTGCAAAAGCTGTTCTGAATCAACTAGCTTTTTCTGATATTAGAAAGACTGAAGAGAAAGTAGATGGTATTACAAATCCCTCTGAAAGTGTTATCAATTTTGTGAATCATCAGTAGAGCCAAGTGAGATACTCACTGGGAGAAAGATAATATCTCAAGAAAGTATTAATGGAGCACAGGATGCCCTTCAATAAGTATTTGCAAAACTAAGCGAAAGGCTTCTAAATGATTCTGTGAGAATGGTTTCTGCAGTGCTGAAATTTCAATCAAATTTTAAATTTTGTTCTTATCGCAGTCCAAAAATAATTTCAGGGCTTTATAAGGCCCTAGATGAAAAACAAATTGATAAACGTAGGCAAGAACGTCGTAGGAGAGGAAATAATAAACTAGAAAAAGAACTTCTGGAGAAAAGCAAAATTCTTCAGTGTAACTTGTTAGAAAATAATTCTCAAAATAAAATGAACATTAGTAATAATGCATGTGCAAGCATGCTTGAAAAATATACTCAAAGTAATGAAGGAACAATTAATGGAACTGAATGTGAAGCTAAAAAAACGTCCCTCCAAGCAGATTTTAGTAGGCGGGTTAAAGATCAAACTGATTTTTCTGTTAAACAAGCTTCAGAACCAATTATATCTGTCCATGCTTTGCAACTAAATGATAACATAGCAAGTAATTTACTCACTGAAGATTGGAGATTTATTAGTAGAAAAATGTAATATCGATCTGACAATGATAAACTCTGAATTACCAAACTTAAATCTTCCGAATAATGAAGTGAGTGATGATTTGCAAAACAAAGATCAAGTTTTGTTTTGTCATGTAATGATTTCGCTGTTTTAGATGTTCTTTCTAACCAATATATTTAATAATTGATGAAAATGATATAGCGAAAGTCATAGAGTGTTCATCTGTCTTATACCTGCTTAAAAAGATTTATTGAAAGTGAACAAGTTTTCAATTTTAAATTATTATCCATCCTTGTTATAATGAATATATTTTTTATTAATATTCTTATTGTTTTAATAAAGATCCTCTTACTAATTTTTTTTTAATTATTTTAAGCTTAAAATTCATATGAAAATGTTGAAAGTTATTTTTTTTTCAGTCATTTTAACAGAATCGGAATAATATAAAATAAAATTACATAAATATCTGTGTTATTCTTTTCTTTTTTTTAACAATTTATCCAGGTAAAGTACGTCAAACATCTCTTTTAGAACTTAATTTAAAATGCTTTATTTGGAGATTAAAATTAAAAAAACAAATAAGTTTTCTGTTGGTCTGGAAAAAAATAATTTAAATTATTATATTGCTTATTACGATGAAACATCTCAGTATTTTCTTTCTGAGTACTACATACAGTACATGCATTTAGCAAAAAAGGAAACTTCATTGCTTGTATAAATTTTGGGACAAAAATTAACTTTGTACTTGCTCAGCGCTTTTTAATTAATACAAATTATTAATCTGATTAGTTGAAGTATACAAATACATTCTCTGAATACCATCTAAAAATAAAAATGTTGAAGGATAGAAACAATATAAAAACAATGTCATCAATGATAATTAAAATAGTGGCCAAAACTACATAGTTACAAATTTTGAAAGAAATCTGTTGGGGAAAAAAAATCTAACCACTAAAAACGCAAACTTAAAAATACATATCCTTCCCTTTATTAAATATTGCTATTTTGAGCAAACATTATTTTTATTCAATACTAACATGGATTTTTGTTATTAATTTGCCAATCATCATAAATTATGTTTACCATAATTTATGACAAAATAACACATTTTAAACACCTAATAATTATTATGTGCAAATTCTAATTTAAAGTGTTCTAATTTTTCAGAGATTTAATATTGATGTATTTCTTACAAATGTTGAAAATCTGTTCAAAGTTTTAGATTATGATAATGAATTCAGTATTTTGTTCATTTATTCTCTTAAGTTAATTATTGAACCTTCATTAAATGGCTTGTTAGTATCCGAGATTGTTGCTTGTAACTGAGATTGTTGCCAAAAGTGTACAGCGTTTAACAATTGACTATCGAAATGAGCTACAGGGAACGTAGAACAGAATTCTGTTCCAACTGCAACACTTCGCATTCTTTTACCATTAGCGTGTGGAGAGTCATAGGAGAAGGAAGTGCGTTAGTTTCTGTCTTGATTTTCAAATAGATTAAAAACTTTTAAGTTAGGAAACTGTATGGAACTTAAAACTACATTGAACATTATAAAAGAAAACGCCATGGAAATTTTAAAAAAAATTCTGACAAGTAAATACGAAAAATATTTAGAATGGGAAAAATATAGTAGTACTATGATCAAGACATGAAATCGGTCTTCTCCCCATATGGCGTATTCGAGTGTTACGATAGAAAAACAAATGATAACGTCTCAACCATATTTAAAAAGAAAATTTTTCATGTTGAGAGATTTTTGCTTTATTTCTCCATAAATCAAAACGTTGAAGGATTGCTAATTTTGTGAAAAATGTTCTGTTATTGGCGATCGGCAGTGCTCGATTACGCCATCTGAGGAGAACATCAGTTCCATGTCGTAGCTCTTGCCTAATATTTTTCATATTCAATTGTCAAAAATATTTTTTTTGAAATTTCCACGACGCTTTTTTTCAGAACTATGTTTCAGTTCTGAATAGTTGCTCAACTTAAAATTTTTTAATCTATTTAAAAATCAAGAGAAAAATTAACGTACTTCCTTCTCCTATGACTCGCCACACGCTAATGTTGAAAACACGTTAAGAGCTGCCATAGATAGAGACAAGCGACTAGGGACAGGACGATTCCATAATACAAACGGACTTAGAAAATTTAGAAAGGGGAAAATGAGTTCGATATCGGGAAAACGTTGCTGGTGAGAGCGTTACCTTAACAAAATATCGCCTTAATTTAGCGCCAACATTGGAAGTCAAATTTTGGCGGAATTTTATGAAACAAAAAAACTTCACCAGGTTCATCAAAAAAGAAATAATTGATTATTAGGCTTTACAGAGAAGACAGTCAGAATTGATTTTTTTTTTATCTTCAAAGAACGTTTCTGATGCAGAGAGGTACGTACCTCACTACTGTTGACAACTATCGGTCGCTGATCCAGCAATTCTGTACATGTTGGAGGAGCGTGAGGGGGGAAGATCGTGAAAAGAATTCCGTGTATAAACCGGGCAGTGGCACTTGACCTTAAAAAAACATCAGTGCAGGGAATACCGGGCAAATGTATACCGGGCAGTGGCACTTGATCTTAAAAAAACATTAGTGTAGGGTATACCGGGGAAATGTATACCGGGCAGAGGCACTTAACTAGACCTTGTATATATTTCAGACATTTACCAAAAGTCTCGTCAACTAGACCTAGTATAAGTGCCACTGCCCTGTATACCCTGCAGTGATGTTTTTTTAAGGTCAAGTGCCATCGCCCGGTATATATTTGCCCGGTATACCCTACACTGATATTTTTTAAGGTCAAGTGCCATTGCCCGGTATACCCTACACTAATGTTTTTTTAAGATTCAGTGCCACTGCCGGGTATACAATGCAATTATATTTTTTTAAGGTTTAGTGCCACTGCCCAGTAAACATTTACCCGCTACTCCAAACACTGATGTTTCTTCTAATCTATCGTCTGTAAGAATTAAAATATCGAATAAATGCAATTATATAAACAAATAAATTAATATCAAATCGGATGTAACAAATATATCGGACATTCACCGAAGCGATAATGTGGTTGTCAACATTCACCGCTGAAATCCAACAACCACCGATTTCAGTCATTCACAGTAACATGCACATCATTTACATAATAACAGCATCAGGACGTTTATTTTATACTTGCCTAAATAGCATTTGTCATTCTATAGAATGCCTATGGAAAGCATGTTATAATTCTCACATTTCATACTTTGTCTAAAAACATCGAGCAAACAAAAGCAAAACAGATAAGAATGAAAAAGCAAAGACATAACGAAAAAATTCAGTAAATAACATATTTTATACGAGTTCGAAAATGACAGCAAACGTTGCAAAAAATAAAAGTAAAAACAAATGCGAACGGTGACCGTAAACCTTTGAAATTTAGCCAATATGCCACGGAAGCGAACAAAAAAATCCCCAATATTCTCAGTGTAATTTCCCTATTTTCACTCTTCCGACGAAACTTAACATTATGGAATCGTCCTTCCCCTAGTCGCTTGTTCTGTTTCTGCTTTACGCCATCTGTAGCCAGTTTCAATCGCCTGGTTTTTCGCGCTAGTAGGAATAGCCTTTTTATTTATATATGTAAGCTACAAACTAAAAACTTAATCACTATTTTAAAGGTTACAAGCGAATATTAAAATTTCTTGATACGTTGTAAACGGATTGTTGGATTGTTTATTTACATTTGTTTTCTATAATGTGGACATTTTGAAATTAGAATTTCTCTGACTGGTGAGTAATTTGTAAAAATTAAATTCGTTAAACATTATATCGATATGACTGTTTACTTATTTCCATTGCTTGAGATATATAATATCCCATCAATGAAAACATTCTGTTGATATAAGCATTTATTTTGCGTCCATTATGTTTGAAGCCGGTGAATAATTTAACAATATTAGTCTTTTAAAGAGGCATTTGCTGTATTTTGAATAATAACTAAATTCTTTATTTATATTTTTCTGGCAGTATTAGGGAAATATAATTTAACAATATAAATTGCAAATTAAGTATATTCTGTTTGATTTGTGCCTACGCTGTTAATTCATTTATGACATTTATTTGTAAATTTTTGAAAATTAGAGAGTATCTTTAATTATTAATTGAATAAATTTACATTTTAATGAATTCATTTTCATTTATGAATAATTTCTATGTTTGTTTGTTTATTTTGCCTATATTACTGAGTTTATTTATTATTATTATTTTTTACTATATCTGGGATTTTCCCCATCTGGAATTATCTGGTCTGCCAAATGCATTTATCAAAAGCAAAGTACAAATTTCGCAATTTTTTGTAATTGAAAGAGAGCATATTTCTGTATTGGTACCAATCTGTTCTTACCCACTACAATCGCCAAGTTGTCAAAGAATTTTTATTTAAAAAAAATATTATAGGTTCGCTTGCTATAAGTTATACCATTTGAGTTGGGCCTTTTTTGAGATTTTTTATTATAATTTCTCCATTGTCACCCCTCAAAAGTTGCTAAAACTCACAATAACTTTTTGCTGGAACTGATTGAGATCTTTCCTTGGAAGAAATTAATAACTCACTCAATATGTTTCAAAAATTTGGAAATAAGTCAAGAAAATGATTACATTCACAAAAATAGTTCAGAGGTGCTAAAGATCTTGAGGTAAGCTGAGCTTGGCATTAGAAACCTACTTTAGATTGTTGCTTTAAACTTGACTTATGCTCCAATCAACTCATTTTAACCCTTGAACTGTCTCACATCTTCCAGTCTCTAACGTTTTGGTTATGTAGCATATCTGAGTTATGTTTGCAATCATATATTCCTATTTCCAATCTGATTCTTGCTTGTTATTATGTTCTTGATTTACATGTAGGCTTGTAAATGGCAGTTATTTAGCCTGCATGTATGTTTATATTGGCTTATCCTGAGGTAGAACTCATAAAACACTTAGCTGAATTCATTTTCTAGTGAATGAAAGAAAAAATATTGATCTGAAAGTGATTTCAATCCAAAAATAGTTCATCTCAATGTTTATTATTTTCTCTAACTTTTGTAATATCAACTTTGCAAAAAGAAAAAATAATTCTCAAATTTGTTAAAACCTCTAATAATTTTTTTTTTCTCTGGCCATAACTCAAAATCACTCCAATACAATATTATTTCTACTAAAAAAATTCAGGAATCTTCAGTTTAAAACAGTTCTGTTAGAAAAAAATTCTATATAAAACTCTGACCTAAATTCTTATATATAATCAGGGTTCTGTCCAGGCCGAATTTACTACCATTTAGCGGTACCTTCACAAATTCAACTTTAGGAAAAACGGTAGTTTCACAAATTCAACTTAAGGAAACACAAAATACTTTTTCTTAAAATTTTATTTTTGTATCCCTTCAGAAACAAAAAATCCATATTTTTTTGTTGATTTTTTAATATAATTTTTCATTTTTCACAAATTATGTCTTTATTTTCACAAAATAGGTACCTCTCAGAAAAACTTAGACAGACCCCTGATAATCCATCACAAGTGTCTTGAATAAATAAATACTGATTTACTGTTCTTGCAAGGGCATGTGATGTTGAAAAAATTTTAATTAATATTTGCTGGTAAAAATTACGAACCAATGATTTAAATATTACTCAAAATGCTTAATTGAAAACAATGTCACTGTTTCAATATATCAACAACAAAAAAAAAACATAATGAATAAATAAAAAGAATAATTGGGTATAAAAAGTCCCAATTTTAGTCATAAATTATCTAATTTTCAAAGCATTTATGTATAATATTCATTATTCACTCATGAGCATAAATTTTTAAATTTGATTTTTTTCTTTTTTTTTTTCTTTTTCTTTTTATTATTCATCTTATTTTGTCTTCTATAGTTGTAGTTTACTTTCATTTGTATAAAATTAAGTTATTGCAGATTTTTTTTTAAAATTACTATTACATTTTAAAATAATTATAAAATATTAATTGTTATACTTTTAGATAGAAAAAATAATCCAAATTGCTAAAATAAGAAAATTCTTTTAAATTTAATTTATGACTTAGGAAAAAGTTGTATAGAATGAACAATAGTTATACCTAATTTGTATAGTATTAAAACTTTTATTTTTCAGATCACTTTTTATTCAAGTGAAAATTTTGAGAATGGTAAGAAAATTTATTGCGTATAATATTCTTATTGTGTTACATTATATTAATTTCTTTCTTTTTTTTTTTTTTTTGTGAATCTTTTAGTATTCTGTGATATTCAAGCAAGAACAGGGTAAAATTTTATTTATTTTTTCATTGTATAACATTTTTGTAATACTAAATATATGATATGTATTGATTCATATATAGTCATATCAATTTATATTATTCACATATCAATTAATTTTTATCTACGTTTATAACTTAAATGTAAAGTTAATTTCCTGATTATTTTCAGCTCATGATGATAGCATATGGTGTTGTGCTTGGAAAAAAGGAAAGCAAGATAACTTAAATCATATTGTTACAGGAGGAGTTGATGATGTGGTCAAATCTTGGAAATGGTATTTTTTTTCATACTCAAGTTTCAAAAATGAAATTTATTTTTAATTAAAAATTTTGTAAGATATGCATAGTAGTCTCAATATAACAAATGTTTGTTAAAAATTATTTTAAAAAAAATTCATGTTTTTAGCTATTTCTAGTGTTTTCTTTCTAAAATTTTTTTTCATTAAAAGTTATTTTTAAATTATGAAGCTTATCCAATGGAATTTTATTTGTTTGTTTGTATTATTTATTTATTATTTTGTTTGTATTATTTAACAAGGCAGTCTTTACGAGTTGTAATTTCATTTCTTTTTCTTTTTTTTAAGATTTAAAATTATTAGTTAGCAAAAGCTCATTTTTATTGCAAATAACTTTAAATTCTATTCTTTTAACCCTTTGCTTGTGACACTTAGCATTACATTAAATTGTTATTTTGGTCCACTTGTTATATCAGCTGTGGGCAATATGTTAATCATTAGAATTGAAATTAAATATGGAGTAAAAAATAAATATTCTATTAAACCAGGGCGGGAAAAAAATCAGTTCTAAAATACTAGTTAAACTAAAATTTTTGCTCTTACTATTTTCATGAAAAATATAAACTATTTTCATAATGTTGTATAAAAAAAACTTTTTGATGACTAAAACCATAAAAGAATATATAAAATAAAAGACTGTAGCATGTTTATTGCTAAAATTTTTTAATTGCTGAAAAACACAGATATAAATTTTTCTACAGTTCCACTGTTATCCACATGTCATAAAAAGTCATTAAAATGCAAACAAATGTCAGTTCATATTTGCGTACCACTGTCTCTCAAAACTAAAATACTGTATTTTAAATTCAGGCCTAGCATCAAACTCTGTTGGGGATGGGGAAGCAATTTATAGAAATTCTGAGCAATGTCTCAATCTTCTAAGAATTTCTGTTAGCTGTTATCTGAGTAAAGTTACAGTTGAAGCCTCTGTCACTGTGGAAGCTGTGATTACTGGTAGAATAGCACATAAGTGTTATAATCTGAAGCATATTCAGGAATCTCACTAACTTTCTTCACTGTTTTATGTCTCCAAAATCTGTTTCAATGATATTGAAATGAACATAAACTTCACTTTTTCGCTCTCTGCCAACAAAACATCCACTTGTTTACTAAAGAGATTTTTATTTAAATACACAGATAATTTATTTATCTCCTTTATAACAAATTCAAGAATTTTTCTTTGGAAAGCCTATAAAGGGTGTTAGGAAACAGCAAAGTTGTTCACACATCTCTAGCAGAACTTTGAAAATATTGCTCTCACTTCTTAATATTTTTCAACTTAAAATTCACAAAAAGATGGATTCTGGAAAAATTATGGTAGGTTGATTTGAAGCACAATATTTTATAAAGCTCTATTTGAAACACAATATTTTATAAGCTTGCCAGCTCTAAATGTTCAGTTACGAATGGTGAGTTGAAATTTTGTGCCCTGTTTTTTAAACAACAAACAGTTCTAGTTATTTTAATGATTCTAATAATCTGTCAATAGATATGATTATTCTGTAACAATTGTTTGTTAGAAAAAGTGGTTTAGTGAAAAATCTCATGTCCTTGAAGGTTATTACCTTGAACCCGAATCAAAATATGTTTGATGGTTATCATTGTGGCTTTGAATACTAAGAGATTTTTTAAAAATAATTTTGCATTTTATGAAAAATGTATTTAGTTAAACTTTAAATAGGATATGCTTAAAAGAATCCATCTTCTAATATTTTTTATCTTATATTATTTTTTTTATCTATATTTAATAGGGATGAAGAAAAATTAGATCTTCGTCATATATTTGAAGGCCATGCTTTAGGAGTTGTTTCAGTTGATATCAATGATGATGGTTCAAGTATGTTTTAGATTAGTAACTTAAGATTTAAAGCTAATATTTAATTTTAATATGCTTTGTAGCATGTGATAATGTATAAAATATTATTTATATACTGTTACTGTTTTATTTCATTTTTTTGACACATAAATAATCAAATACATCTGATCTTATAAGCATTATATATGTACTAGATAAAAAACAAAATCTTGAAAAGTTTAGATCTAATGATCCTATAGTTTAAGCATTAGAGCAGTTAACTGTTTGATCCTCTTAATATTAAATTAAGGATACTATCTAAGAAAGTTTTTAAAGTAATTTAAGCATATTTTTAAAACTTCACTTTGCGTTTCATATAACATTAAAGCATAAGTTCCCAACCTTTTTTTGACTCATTGCTTACTTTGTAAGACAAGGTTTATGAAATAACTTTCTTACATTCCTTATTTTTGATCTGTTGGAGTTTTAACCATATAGACAATTTTTTGAAAATTCCTACTGAACTGTGTTTCTTTATTTGAGCCTTTTGTTTAGCAATTTTTGAAAAATGCTGCCCTTACATCAAAAATAAAGAATATTTGCCGTGTGCTTCTAATGATAATTTTAAATTAACTTATAAACAAATTGTTTTTAATATCCAAAATTACTGTAACATGATGTTCATAATGAATAAAAGAAATATGAAAATGATATGTAAGAAATTAGATCAGAATAGTTTAAATTTTGAAGAAGTACCAAGTCAAACTTTCTAGAATAAATTTTCTTTTCGAGTAGAACAGCAAACAAAGTATTTTCCCTATAAAATTGGTCTTTTTGCAATAATTTTCTGAATTAATGCCTGCTTTAATAACATTTAAGGTTGTTATTAGAATATGTTTGTCATAAAATAAAATTATTAATTTAAGATAGCACTTAATATTTAAAGAAGTTTCTTCTGTAAATTCTTAAAAATCCTATAGAAAGCCCCAGCACCCCAAAAGTCTTCAACACCCATTGGGGTCGAAAGCACTTACTTTGGTAACCCAGGCTCTAAAATAGATGGGTTGCATTTGAAGGAAGGAAAATAATTTTTATCTCTCCAGAGCAGAAAAATATAGTAGTAAATTGGACTGTAGTATTATCCAAAATGAGTAAATTCAGAAAATTCTCTTTTTCTCAGTTACTTCTAAAAAGCAGCAAAATTATAATAATTGGTCTTAAGTGACAACCTTTAACGAACTATTATTTGAATTTTGTAAAGAATATAGTACTTATAGCAATTCACTTTTCATATGTAAATATTCATTTTTAATTAGCTTTATAAATTGAGAGGCCAACTTGTCTGTCTAGATTGAGGGATCAGCTTTGTTAGTACAGTTTCACATGCAGTAGTAAGGTATGTCCAGTTTCATATTGGTGAGAGCCAAATTAAAATTGACAATAGGCTTACATGGCTTTTCCACACAAAACATTTGTTTCCATTTCTTATCTGTGCATTTGCTAGCTATATTGCCCATAGTCGAAACTACATTACAAAAATTTTGGATCTTACCTTTTTGTTGCACTGAAACTTCTGAACTTTATATTTTTATTGCACAAGTTTTAGTTCATCGATAGGGATTACCTTATATGCCTTTCATTATTTTTTTTTAGTTGCTGCATCTAGTTCTTTAGATAGTCAGATTAGGGTATGGGAGTTACATTCTGGTCAAGAATTGAAGAGTATTGATGCTGGTCCAGGTATATTATCCATTTCAATTTTTGAAATTGTTATTCCTTTAAAAGTTGCATGAATAAAAAATACACTATGCATATGTTATCATCCATGTATAAAGTGCAGTGGTGCTACCTAGACATGATTGGTTAAGTGGTTAAGGCATTGCTCACACCACTGCTGGAGAACTAGGGGCTGCATGTTTGATTCTTGTAGCTGACTAAGCAACCGCTATGTATGTCCAGCAAGGTTGATGTTAAATCTGTCATAGCACTTCTGTGTTTGGTGTAGAAGTTAGGCAAGAGAAGTACCGGCTCAGGCGCTATCCATGCCTGACCAGGTTCAAAATTTTATGGCATTCTTGCCATGACTGTTAAAAGATAGAGCTTTTAAAAAATGAGACTTGGTGCTTCGTCGTGGTTGGGTGGTGTGTATCAAATGCAGCATTCTAGAGAACGCCTAATCATTGTAATGAATGCTCTGTGTTTTTAGGCAAACTATGAATAATTAGAATTATTATATAAAGAATGACAAATGCTCTTGGCAAATGGCGTAACCACCACTTCGAATATTAAACATCAATTCACTGGTATATAAGACATGCTAACTTGATTCAATCACGAGGTACCTTTTGATAGATGAAGGTTGGCATGATCGATAACTCCGCTCCCACACTCTTTTGGCAAAGTATGGAATATGAGCTGAGTGGTTTTGTTAAGTACCTGTAAGTTTTTTTTAGTCATTTTATAGGATTCTTACACATTGTGTTATGTATGAATTCTATCATACTTTACTATTTTATCATCAGTTAATCTATTGCATTTTTGTAAGTCATTATATCCAAGAAAGTTGAAAGTTTCCATTAAATTATTGTGTCACTTTAATTAAACCCTTATTGTTTGAACATGAATGCTTATTTTCCAGTAATTTAGATGGGCCACTGTGATTAAATACTTAAACTAAAAGAAACCTTATTCTTTAATTTTAATGAAAAGTAATGAATAGTCTTAGAACTGAAAATAAAATCCTAAATTAGTTTGTTTATAAGAAAATAAATTTAAAAAAAGTATGTTTTCTCTATTGATTGGTAATTGAAAGGTATACTGTTGCTTAATATATTTTATATTACTAAACCAATAAGTAGTCTAGTCATACATTTTGTTTGTAACTATAAGTTAAGGATGTATCTAGATTTTTTATTTATTTCATCAATATCATAATTATCTATTTAACTTGAGAAAACCTTTAAAATGTTATTTTCTAACTGAGGTGTTCATTGGATTGTGATTAAAGTTTGAAAAATATTTGAGGAATCATGAAACTATGGCTTAATTTTTGAATGTTCAAAACTTGTTTTCTGCTTGAAAGTATGGCATAGTTTCCATAAGGAGACTAGCTTAATTTTGATAGGTTTTTCTTTTATGTAGTAGTAAAAGTATGCATCATTTTTATTAAATATAAGTATGTTTTTTATGTAATTTTTGTGAGAAATCTATTTTTTGTTTTGTTGATAAGTCTGTTAATGATCAAATTACTCAAAACTGCTTCAATTTTAGCTTAGCCCTCCCCCTCTTTTTAATTATAATTAAAAAACTACATTTATTTAAGTTCTTATAATCATAATATTAATTTATATTTTTACATGATACATAGTTTTACATAAAAGATGATAGTGCTAGACAGAAAAGCTTTGACAAGGTTTCAAAATCTGTCAATTATGTTATTTTTACCTTATATCAAATTTCGTTTCTCGCTAGTGTTTTAATATTATTCTTTTATTATTTTTAGTTGATGCTTGGACTGTTACATTTTCTCCTGATTCCAAATACATTGCCACAGGCAGCCATGGAGGCAAAATAAATTTGTATGGTGTAGAAACTGGAAAACTTGAATCTTTTTTAGAAACTAAAAAATTCACTTTGAGTGTAGCTTTTGTAAGTATCATTTAATAATTTTATGTAATAATATCATGTTAAGTATAATTTTAATAATTTTATGTAAACTGAAGGATTAAGGCAATATACTGATATGCTGCTATTTAGTTTTTAAAGATAGATACTGGAGGTTTTTATTTTTTAAAGATGTTTAAGAAGTTTCTTGTTTAAACCTGTTTGGGTAATATCATGGTCTGTCATGATGGAGCGAAGCTATCAAATGCAGTATCATTTACCATCTTAAGGCACAATTTGCATTTATTTTTAAATTTAGACAATCGTAATAGTTACTTTTGTTAGATTGTGCTGTAGTTAACCTTATGTAATAAAAAATGTGGGTTTAAATTTAACTGTCACTCTTACAATGTAAGCTGTTGATTTTGGTCTTACTTTAATTGTCTTTCATCCATCGTCATATTTAGTTTTTAAGTTATCTTTTTTATATCTGGCGTGCATTTTGCATTGTATTTTATTTCTCATTAAAATTATGCTCGAGTCATTTTAAGTTTCTGTGCAGTACTAATTCATGAAAAGTTATCACGGCCTCCAGCAAATGGAATCTTTTGTTCTTCTCGTGGTCAGTGTGCAATGTCCTCAGAAGTTTAAGTTATTTTCTTGTTTTTAGTTTAATATTGTGGCAAGCCAATGCAATCCAGGTGACTAGGTTAAATGAATTACAAACCCAGCTTGCAGTCATGACATAAATTATCTTCAGTGATAGACATATCATGGGTTAGAGTCCTCTTGCTATCAGACTAACTATAGAAGGTTTTCATGGTTTACCTCTTCATGAAATGTTAAATAGTAATGCTATATAGATTCCTCTCCAACTAATGTTAGATAAATATATTCTCACTTTTCAATAATGATAATTTCAAAGCCATTCATGTAAGTCTCTTTTTGTTTCAGTTTGTACTGATTTTAAATTGATAGTCTTAAATTAAATAAATCCTAACAATCATAATTAAAAATGAACTAAAACCATGCCTGCCAAGTCTTCTGTTTTTAAAGAAGACTCCTATATTTTATGACTATCTCCTGTTTACCCGTGTATTCTCAAATTTCTCCATATTTGTTGAAGAAATTTTTAAAAAAATAAAATTTTGGAGATAAAATATCCGTTGATGACAAAAATACTTCTTTTATTCCTCAACAGATAGTGCTATTGCCGGTACTGCAGTATGTTGAGTGTTAATAATTATGAGGAATGGTTTAAAAAAATCTTCTTTAGATTAAGATTTTTTAACATATTTTTTACTTCACTAAATGTAAGTGCTTATATTATTTCCAGTTTTGAATTTCTCTTTTTGATTTACATGATTATGCATGATGTATCAAAACTTTACTCTTTTCCTAAAAAATGTCGCTAGTAAAATCTCCTTTATTTTATTTCTCCAATGTTGGCAGGTATGTAAAACACAATTTCTTCAAGTTTTCATCAAAAACAAAATTATTTAATAAAATAATTCACAGATTCATACTTGCCAACTTTCACGCATTTGGTGTAAAATTTTATTTCTATATTTAAAGTGGTAGTAAAATGCATGCTTTCTATATATCCTTGCATTTAAAAACTACATTTATCATCTTTTTGATCACCACTATTTTTAAAAAGATAAAGTATATATATAAATATGGAATACTGTAGTAGTAGTCTACAGAAGCCATCCAAAAATACAATGTATGTTTCAGCCTAAAATTGTAATTTATATTCCATTTTACTACCACTGGGGGAAATCATCCTTGAAAGGATTAAATATTGGCAGGTATGCAAATCATATAATTTCTTTCATCTATAAGGATTAATATTATGTTTTAATTTTATTTCAAAACTTTACTTTTATTAAACTTCCATTTTATTCAGACATAAGGAAACAAGCTTAAAAATGGTGTTAAATCCCCCTTTTAACTGCCTGCCCCCCCCCTTAATTGCTAGAGCATCTACGTTGTCTTAAGATCTATTGTTCTGTTTTTCCTTCAAAAACACTGTTTTCTCCATTTCTTATTGTATTGAAAAGTTATGTAGTGAGGAACAATATGCGCAAATACAGAATAGCGGATCAGATATATAACTTTCCATGAATAATGCAATAATTTTTATTTAGTTTATGTTTTCTTTTGTTTATTATATTTTTTAATTTTTATATTACTCGTTTTAAATGCCCATAATAAATAGTTTATGCTAGAAATTGGTTTTAAAAATTTGATTGTTTTCCTTTTAAGCTAAGCTTAATTTTTTCATGATGGATGAATTAAATTTTAAAAACCTTGATATCTACTTTATATTTATATTAGACTAATTTATATTTTTTTAGTGTGCTTTTTTGTAAATATTCTTTATTTTACTTTTATGCTCTTAGAGTCCTGATGGTAAATATCTTGCCAGTGGTGCTATTGATGGAATAATTAAAGTGTTTGATATAGCTGCTGGAAAGCTTGTCCACACATTAGAAGGTAATTTGTTTAAACTATGTTGTTCATGTTGTAGAAACATCTTGATTTTATTGTTGATAATTCTGGGCTTTGAATTATGATCTTATTTATGATTAAGTTATCGTTACTTTACATGATCTATGAATCTTCACAAATGTTTTTTACCATTTTTTTAAATTGATGCAGTCACATTCTTTTTGAACTACTATTTTTTTTTTCAAATATGAATGAGACATAATTATATTTATTGCATTTCATAAATTTCTAATTAATTTTAATTCTAATTAACTTAAATTTACTATAAATTTTCTAATTAGTTTAAAGGAGTGCTAGAAAGATGTCGACCTTCCAAACTTCTAAAAATACATAACTTTTGATAGATTCTCATTAATCTTTCATTACCTATTACTGAATTTTTATATTGCTACAAATTAATCATTGCTTATTCTTTTTTAAGGTCATGCTATGCCAATTCGTTCTTTAACATTTTCCAAAGATTCTTCGATGCTTATAACTGCTTCTGATGATTGTCACATTAAAATTTATAATGTGTAAGTACAAGTATTAACTTCTATTTATTGTTTTTATTGCATTAATCATTTATCTTAAAATGTAATATGTATACCTGAAAGTAAATTCACTCTTTTTACTTTTGAGGAGTGAGATTTAAAATCAAGGTGTGAAGTTAATTTGTAAATTACTGCCACTCTATTTCTGATACTTTATTTAAAGTAAGCCCATTAGAATTGATTGAATATTCATCCCAGAGTTAGGAAAGTTTTCGACACTTGACATTTTTATCTGGTTTTAAACATGTAAAAATCCTCTTTTGAAATAGATTTTGATAATTTTCAAAAGCCCAAAACTTTAGTGTAGAAAATAGTTATTAGGTATTATAAATATGAAATAATTATAAATTAAATTACAAGTGATCAATCTATTATGTTCTTTAATCATTTTGTTTTGATAATTACCATCTAAAAACATAATCTGTTTTAAATATTAATTATTCCTTCTGAATTAAACTGTGTGACTGAAAGTCTACCGTAAATTGATGATGTATATATATTGACTGTGACATACTTCGATATCTGATTTGATGCCTGCTTCTGATCACAGTGATGAAGACAATGAAAATACACAAAAAATATTGGAGGATGTACCTAACAACTGTTCAAAAGTTTATTTTCAAATATAAACCAAAAAACAAATTTTCAAGCCAAACAATTTTCATTTTGTTAGTATTAAGCTGGATATTGTTGAAATCGTACCTGAAAATAAGTAAAGATAATAAATTTTTTCTGATAGTTCATCTCGTAAGAGTCAATTTTTGAAAAACATGCTTAATTTTTATGTCTCAATTATATGTTTAACACTAGTCTAATAGATAATCAGGGCTCAAATGTACATTGAAATTTGCATATTTACTTGTATTGATGCAGTTTTTCTATCAATTAGTGATTGACGAGTTTTAGAAATATAAATAATGACACACTTATTAATTTTTATGCTTGTTTTATTTGAAATGGTTTGTAATATAAATAAAATATTTTAATTTCTTTCACAGACAACATGCACATTTAATAGGTACTTTATCTGGACATGGATCATGGGTTCTTCAAGTTGATTGTTCTCCAAATAATACACATTTTGTTTCAAGGTATGCACTCATTTATTAAAATTTGCATTTAACCATTTCCGATTTTTGAAATACGAGCATTTTATAAAATTATGATGAATGTATCTAAATCTAACATTGATTTGGAATTGAATAATTGTAGTAGTAGCTACGCAACAATACTCCTCCATTAGAATTGTATCTGGAATAGAATTCGATTAATCGTTATTACTATTTGATTCATTGCTGTTTTTGGAGTCACTAAGAGAGCTGTATTAAGATCACAATTGTATGCTTCATTTAGAAAGTCTGAAATACTATTCTAGCAGAAGAAGAAAAAAATTATATGATATGTGTGTTGGCAGGCAGTGTGTCCCCTGATGAAGTGCTGTCTTGCTAGCACACTATCTTATAATTTTTTTTCATTTTCTGCTAGAACAGTATTTCTGACTTACCAAATTTGTTTTATTTTAATTTAGATTCAGCTGCTTTAAGCGCTTTTCCATTTTGATTTATTACTTTAAATGTTTTTTTTTCTGAATTTTTAAATCAGTTTCTTTCTTTGATTGGCTGTATGCTTGATCTCTCCTATGTTGCTATCAGCAATTAGATTATTGTCTATGTTGTGTGTACAGGGACAGGACCAATGTAGGGATTAGGTTATCGATGTCAACCATCATCTATCTAAAGGTATCTCCAGACATTGAGTTAATATCCCTTATATACTAATTGGAATTGAATGATTATTGTGGTCGCTATGCTGCTACCTTTTTATTCTGGGTACAGCTCAAAGTTCATGAATGAAAATATACATAGATCGAAAACAGTTGTTAAAAATAGACATAACAAAAAATTAACCTTTTCAACAGACAATCAAACTAGTCAATTACTAGTCAACTACTCAATTACTAATTTTTCCTTATTTTTTTAAGCACCAAGAATAACCATTATGAGGAAAGGGATGATTGGGTATATTTCAGATATCTCTTTGCATATGTAAATTTATTACTGTTTTGTACTTTTATAAATTTATAGGACCTGTAACAACCTTGTAAAAATTACTGTTGATTTTTAAAAAAATTTACTATTGAAAGACTTGGGTAAATGTACGACATAGCAGATTCATTTGGATCCATTAAGTTTATTATTTAAAAAATAGATTCAGGTGATTCTATTTTCTTAAACATGCAAATGCATGTGACATGAATAAAAAGTATACAGACTATTTTCAGTGGAAGTTCATAATACCCAGGGGGGAAGAAGAGCCATAACATGCCAATACAGTGTTGCAGTACTTTAATTTGAGTATACTTTTCAAATATTGATCACAAATAAATAGTTAAATGCGAAAAAAAAAACATTTTCAAAATCTAATGAATTATCTCTCGTGAAAAGAAAAACACCATTATGAATTTTAAATGGGTTTTTTAATAAACACTGCTGGACTCTTCCTTGCTTCGTTCAGGCAATCAAACAGACTGGTGAAATCTGGTGTTTTCAGACCCCCTTCCTCAGTAGTGATGCATTAGTATTTTGTCCTAGTTTATTTATTAATTTGAGACCCCTAATGTGTATATTTCTTTTATTGCATTCTCAGGGAACATATTAGGGTTGGTCAAATTTATATCACAATTATTGCATTTAATACTTTTCTAGAATTATCCTCTATTGGATAGAGAAAAAAACATGCAAACAATGTTTACACTTCTCTCCTGCGAACGCTCTCTGTGTTCTGGGGGGGGGGAATTTGACGCTACAATACTGACTATACCCTTCTCTCCTGTAGAGTTAAAAAATCTCTGATTAGCAAAATTTTTGTAAAGTGTTGTTTCATTTATCCTCATCAGCATAAAAATCTTTTTGATATTGTATTGTACAGTAGGGAACCGATTATCTGGAACGATCGGGACCATCGCTATTCCGGATAACTGATTTTTCCGGTTTTCTGAATTGCTGCAAAAAGCCGTTTTTGTAGCAAACAATGAAGTAATACACTAATGATTAATTCCAAAATGATGGTAAGGTAAACATCTTTCAAAAAAGAAAGAAAATTCCTGAAATCTTATAAGGAAAAAAAATTTTTATTTTAAAAAAATGGTGGGAAAATTTATCAAAGTTCGTTCCGATTTTTTGATTTTCCAGATAATGGGTTCTGTACTGTACCAAGTTTGAATGTTACTGGAAAGGGAACAGCCTAAATAACTTTTGTTCAAATGTTTGCATTATCACCTACTAGGACTCTGTCCTTATGGTGCAAGAGCTTAACCTTAAATAGGCTAATTTGTATAGATAAAGTCAGACTCAGTGATTCAATTGGATGACATATGCTAATTAATAATATGAAATCTGATATAAATAGATACCTCCTCAGAATGAGTATACTTTTTTTTCCCGTTAGATTTGAATTACAGAGAGCCCTTACTAAATTTTTGTTAAACTCAATATTGCTTATTGTCCCTGAAAGTTAAATTCACTGACATAATTGCAAAAAAAAATGGGTGACTGCACAAAGCAGTGAAAGAATTTTTTAGATAAATCTCTGGGAGTTAGGATAAGAAAACGATAAAGAAATGTCCTTTTTTTTTAAAGAGTAAAATAGCATAATTTTAACCTTATTATGTGTAATTCTAACAAATTTTGACGGAAGTATTCACCAAATGTGGGAAACTTTTTTAAACACAATAATAAAATCTGTTTATGCAAAAACTAATTTTTCATATTTTTTTATTATGTTATTTAACAATATTCGATAAATATGTATAATTTACTAAATTGTAAGGTGTGCAAGTTTATAGATATGCATTTTGAAATACAACTCCAACTATTCATCCACTTTTGTGCAAATTTTGTTTTTTAGCTAATTGAAATTTCTTTACTTAACCATTCACAAAATTTTAGCGCGAACGTATCTTACAAAGGAGATATGCAAAAAGTGAAACTACCTTTAAAAAATTTTAATCTGCCAAAAAAAGAAAATGTTCGTTCAAAAAATGTAAGTTTTTGTAACTTAAAATATTGTCTTTGTCAAATACTTAACTTTTTTTAATATTATACAGTACAGTGTTAAGATTAGACACTCGATCATAAAAATTGAGTTCTAGTGTATGAAACTCCAATCATTAGATCCAAAGTTATTGAGAGTGATCCCTTTTTTATTTCTGTGCACAGTTTTGATAAATTTCTGTTTTAGAAACTGTTTTTTGAAAATAATTCAACTAAATTTATAATGCATAGCAGTTAAGAAGTATACAGGTCGCAAAATAAGACCACCCTGAATACCTTTTGATCGAATCTTCATGTTCTAGGACTCAATAGTATTAATGGTTTGAAGGGATGACTTCAAATATGTTAAACTAGTTAGTGTAGATGATATTTCAAGTTACGGAATGATGAAAAATCTTATTTTCACTGAAATAACATACTTTTTTCTGATGAATTCGAATTTCTGGCCTGGAAAATAAGGTCTAAAGTTTGGACTCCTGAATATTAATTTTACTTTATACATATTTCATTATATCTCTTATACGTTTTAAGCGAATTCAAAATTTTTTCTCTCAGTTAAAATACTTGTTTATCCAAAGATTATTTTTTAAAAAAAAAACTATTGTTTTAGTTAATAAGTCGAAAAAGTGTGAATTGTAACGAAGGCAATTTTACATGATAAATACATACTTTGTGCGAAATCAATCAAATAGTTCCTGAGAAATTAAATTTTTAAAATTCAGTTTAACTCAAACTTTGTACTTTGGCATGTAAAATTGGATACCTTACAATTCAAACTTTTTTTGTCTATTATAAATAAAATATTTACTAAAAGCTAAGGGATTTCATAGTTATGTGCAAAAATTCTCAAAATGTAGTGAGATATACCGAAAGTAAAATTAGCATTGTAGGATCTAAACTTAGGACCGTTCTACTGACCAAACTATTTGGACTGTATTTCTCATATTGAGGCTGCCCCTATATTTTGGGTGTCAGAAATACTTATCTGTTGAGGAGACAGGTATGTTTATTCAGAGAAAGTGGGTTTTTGTATCTGACTTCGTAACTTAAAATATCGTCTGTTCTAATTAATTAGCATATTTGAAGTCATATCCTTAAACTGTTAAGATTGGGTCCTAGATTGTGAAGATCTGATCCAACGTTATTAACAGTGGTCTAGTTTTCATATTACACATTGTTACAATCTATTCACTTTATTGAAGAAACTTAAACAAAGTATTTAACCTGAATTTATATCAATGTTTTGTATTACTTGAAATATATTTCTTTTTATTGATATAATTATTTTCCAGTTCATCTGACAAAACTGTAAAAGTTTGGGAAATAGCCTCCAAAGAGTGTATTCATACTTTTAATGAACATTCTGACCAAGTGTGGTGTGCAAAATATAATCACAATGGAAGCAAGATCGTGTCTGTTTCGGATGACCGGACTATTAACATTTATGACTGCCCAGTGTAAATGAGCTTAAATGTAATCCAATTTTAAGTATGTATTGAATATGTAATAAAATGTGCCACTTGATAATTTGATTATTTTGCTGCTTCATCAGTGAAATACTGTCTTTATACACATATATAACTGGAAGAGTTGAAGGTATGTACTTTTTTTAAAAAATATCGAAATTGGGCATCTTTTGCAATCTTAGAAAAATAAATACAAATTTATCGAGTACTTTGACTTCAGAAAAGGTGTACTTTTTCTCCCTTTTAACATCATTATTGGACCATGCAAGTAAGTGGCCCCTTTAAAAAATGTGAATATATAAATTAAAGATATACTGAATTTACATTACCTCTAAATGTTGAGCCAAACAGTGTGTAAGTTTTGCCATCTTGTAAATTAAGATTTTCTGTCATTGTTTGGAAGATTAATTGCTCTGAAGCTTTTTTAAACGTCTTTTATTTTGAGAATTTTGCTGCCTCTTCTAGTGTATCGGGTACATGACAATTGTTTGTTTCTGGTAATAACAGAACAAGAAGGCCCCCGATTGTTGCTAGAATTCCATATATTACTTGTGGTACTGCTGGATGAGTTGCATAACCCTGCAAAAAATTTTAAATTTGTTTATTTAAAAATTGGGTTTAGTAAGCTTTGTATTCTTTAAAATTAAAATTTTTAAATTTTTTTGATTGGAGATATAGCTTTAAAACTTTTTTCACTAACCATGTCATCAGTTGCTGAAAAAAAAAATTGTTCAAATGAGTAATTTCTGTGGTGAATTCTAATTAAAAAAATTTAAGAGTTATTAAGAAAATTAAATTAAATTAAAAAGCGATCAGAAATATAAATTGTATTAAAACTTGGTATAGTAGCCATTAAGACATCCGAGCTGAAAACTATTTGAAATTAAGTAGCAATTAGGATTAAAGTAGGCATAAATTTATTAAAAAAATTATTCAGGTTATTCTAATTTTAGAGCTCCAATGGTTCTGAGGAGTTGAGTTTGATCCTCTGTCAATAGGTAACCCTCTGTCAATCCAGCTTCAAATCAAAAGGTGGATTTGAAGTGGCTTGTGCAAAACGTTGACCACATTGTCACATTCTTGCCACAAAATTGCAGAATTTTAATTTCCATGATCTGCCTTGCTCACAGTGGGCTATTACAAAAAGGTTTTACTTACTTTTCAGTAATTTTATTAGATTTTTTTTTATTTACTAAATAAAGAATTCTGTTTTTTTGAATTGCTGAAAAAAATTACTTTTTTATTCTTCTTATATCCTACTTAAGTAAATGCGATTTAAAATTACATTGACTAAATTTAAAATCACACATCGTGATTCGTATTCACGCTATTTACGATTTAAAATTGTACATCGCGTTATGTATTCATACGATTTAAATGTAACGCATCTTGCTTAGTTTTCATGGGATTTAAAAATCTTACATCTGGTTTTATATTCACTTAACCTCAAAAAAAACCTCACCATTAAAACCTCACTTCGTGATTTAAACTCACACATTAAAGAAAATCGCCTGTTGATATTTTTTATTAAAAAGTTAATAATATTCTATGAATATAAGCTTTCTACATACACTTTTTGTTTGCTCAAATTTTTTTTTCAATAATTAAAATATGTTTTGCGTGTAACATTTTTTAATTTCAACTTTTTACTTCTTTTGGTTTTTTAACCAAACTCATCCTTGCATTATTAATAATTGTACAGTTTTATGTAAAAGCTTTTACATAAGTAGCCGATGAATAATACCAAAAAATTTTCTGTGGTAATTCAATTTAGGTTTGATTCAAATGACAAAAAAAGTTGCAATACATTTAAAATGACTGTAAAAAATTGTACAAAATATGAAAAGACTGTTAAATTAAGAGAAGTCTAGAACTTACCAATTCTCTAACAAATGGTGATAGAATAGAACCAATTCTGGCACTTACAGAGGCAGAACCCATGCCAACATTCCTCACAACAGTTGGAAATAATTCTGCAGTATACACATAAATAATGCCGAAAGCACAAGAAAGGCAAAATTTTCCAGTCATGGATACAACTACTGGCAACCACCAAGGTTCTGAAAAATAATAGGGAAACATTCAGAAAATTTTATTGTGATTAACTTAATTACATTGAATTTTATCAACAAAAAAAAAAGTTTCTGGCTGTTACTGTTGATTTAGGGCATAGATTCTCAATCTTTTTAACGTTGCCGCCCCCTTAAGGAGCAAAAAACATTTCAACGTCCCCCTTCGTGAAAATGCAGTTGTTTAAAGCATGGGGACGGAGGGAGGTGTGCTGAATTATAAGCAAAATCTTAATTTCTTTACGCTTTAAATTTGTTTGGTCTCTTTAAAAAATATAATGTGCCCATTAACTCGATAATTTTCTCGCGGCAGGTAATCGCAGTCTATTTGTTACAATAAAAATAAATACGTTTAATGAAAAAAATACAACAAAGAAACCTATGCTTAAAAAAATAATTTATTCTCTATTAGATTATTCTCTATTATTCTAATTAAAAAAACAACCAAAATGATTTTTAACACTAAAAAGTAGTATCAGCGAAACATTCAAGTAACTAACCAATTTCTTAACGGTCAGCTCAATACTTTTAGTGAGATGAAGACGCTAATCCCCTCGTTGCACAATTTCGAGTCGATTTCTCCTTTTTGTGATAAGATCTGTAACAACATTGATTCCACGTTTGACAAGCTAGGGGGATGGGGAGGCAATTAAAAAATGTTTAATGATAGTCTACAGTCCAGAATAGAGACGACTGATGTCACCTTTAAGCAAAAATTCTGTGAGACGATCATCATTTCAAAGTTTACCTAGTTAAAAGTTCAACCAATTCCTTGTAAATCTCAACCTCTGCTGTTTCAATATTCACAAAAGGGTTCAGAACCCATAAACCCATTGAGGCACTTCTAGGGAACAAAACATCTTTATAACGGTCAGAAAAGTTCATGTCAAAGAGTCAAGGTGTTGGCAATATTCTTGTGCGTCATCAGGGTGAATTTCGCCTGCTTGGCTGAACTAATTCCAACCAAAATTCTGCTTCCACGAAATGAGTTTTTTTAGAAAGGCAGAAATAACTGATTTTGTAGGGATCAAATTGAGCTTGTTGCCTTGAAGATGTAAATTATCACTCTTAAACTTTACAGATAAATCTGTCAAAGTCTTTCTTAAATGCTATCAATCTGTCTCTCAGAGCTACATCTCTGTTTTCGAGGAACTCAAGCATTGAGTCGAAAAGATTCCAATACCTATTGAGACAGAAGCTTTTGGAAAGCCAGCGAATCTCGGTGTATAGTAGCAAGTGATTGAATTCTTTATCGTTTTTCTTTCACAGCTGTCTGAATAATCAATCGTAGAGAGCATTACAATGAATTTTGTTCACAGCAGATATGGCATATNTGGTTCAGAACCAATTTCTTAACGGTCGGCTCAATACTTTTAGTGAGATGAAGACGCTAATCCCCTCGTTGCACAATTTCGAGTCGATTTCTCCTTTTTGTGATAAGATCTGTAACAACATTGATTCCACGTTCGACAAGCTAGGGGGAAGGGGAGGCAATTAAAAAATGTTTAATGATAGTCTACAGTCCAGGATAAAGACGACTAATGTCACCTTTAAGCAAAAATTCTGTGAGACGATCATCATTTCAAAGTTTACCTAGTTAAAAGTTGAACCAATTCCTCGTAAATCTCAACCTCTGCTGTTTCAATATTCACAAAAGGGTTCAGAACCCATAAACCCATTGAGGCACTTCTAGGGAACAAAACATCTTTAAAACGGTCAGAAAAGTTCATGTCAAAGAGTCAAGGTGTTGACAATATTCTTGTGCGTCATCAGAGTGAATTTCGCCTGCTTGGCTGAACTCATTCCAACCAAAATTCTGCTTCCACGAAATGAGTTTTTTTAGAAAGGCAGAAATAACTGATTTTGTAGGGATCAAATTGAGCTCGTTGCCTTGAAGATGTAAATTATCACTCTTAAATTTTACAGATAAATCTGTCAAAGTCTTTCTTAAATGCTATCAATCTGTCTCTCAGAGCTACATCTCTGTTTTCGAGGAACTCAAGCATAGAGTCGAAAAGATTCCAATACCTATTGAGACAGAAGGTTTTGGAAAGCCAGCGAATCTCGGTGTATAGTAGCAAGTGATTGAATTCTTTATCGTTTTTCTTTCACAGCTGTCTGAATAATCAATTGTAGAGAGCATTACGATGGATTTTGTTCACAGCAGATATGGCATATTGCAATGATTGATGCAAGCGGTTGCTGAGATTTTCCCCTACTAAATGCTTTCTGTGAATCACGCAATGAACAGCTAAGACATCTGGTACCTTCCTTTCCAAAAGGGCAATGTCGACCCACAATTGCAGGAGCCTATCAGTGATAATAGACATAATATTCGCAAGAGGAATGTTTTTCTCTTTAAAATAATCTTTGAAAGTATTAAAAATAGATTTACCTTTGATATCTACAATCAAGCTTCTTGCAAAAAGTATCTCTTGAATAATTTTTCCTACCTTTACAAACCGGACCTATGCCTATAGTAAAGCCTACATTATCTGTCAAGGTTGATTTATCAACTTGAAGAGAAAATTCGTTGGATAACAAAAGTTTGCGTAAAGAAATGTCAACGTCTTCAGCCAATTCATCATTTCGTCGCCGCACTGTATCGTTGCTTACGGGATATTTTTTTTTTATTACAATGGATGCGACTGGATGGTGTAAAACTGTTTCTAAAACTTCCTTGACAAACGACAGTATCAACTCTGCGATGGTATGAGCTTTCCCAGATTTAGCAATACATTTTGATATATTATAAGAAGCTAATAAACCATCGTCGCATTTTTGTGATGAGGTTGCTAGTAACCCAGATACCGAAGGTGCCTTCAGAAGCGTGAAAGAAGATGTTCATGAAAAATAACAAATCTTTATTTTGTTTGTCAGGATAAGTTTTTTGCAAATGCTCCTGATAACGGTAAGATTTCATTACCTCATTAGATAAAACTTTATTACAAAGTAAACACATGGGTAGTTGAGAGTTCAACAGTGATTGAACAAATCCCAACTTCAAGTATGTGGCACTGTATTGATGACACCTCTTTTTATTAACCGACATTGCTGGTGGTAGGGGGAAAAACTGTAATGAAGCTAAGAAAAACCATTATAAGAAACTCGGGTCAAATCGAAAATTCATACTGAAAGCGCAATGACTTCAATAAGTCAAAGGCAAAAGGTACAGACTCATGCGCTGAATTGTGTTGGTTCGGATCGGAGAATAAGTGCCGTATAAGTTCGTTTTATTGCTGGTACAAATGGTGTATCGGATAATCTTTATTATATTAATTTAATTTTTTTTCTCTTTAATATTAATTTTATTTATTAAATAATTCTTAATTTAATAATTTTATTTCTAAGTTTTAAATTTGAATGACAAAACATGCTCATCGCCCCCTACCGCCCAAAACATACCCAACGCCCCCTACTGCCCAAAACAAGTTCACCGCCCCCGTTGAGAACCAATGATTTAGGGAATGTTGTGTTTTGTGTTATGCAAAGATTCTTGCGAATATGCATGTATTAAGTGCAGTACTTTACCTCACTGATAAATTGCTATATTTATCATCACAATCCATAACACATTTGATTATTTTATATATATTTCGTTTGTGTGCATGTGTCTGTTTAACCATTATTAAATAATCTTTTTGTATTTTTTTTTTATCCTATTCTATATTAAAATAAATGATTAAAACAATGTTCAATAATTTAAACAAATTGCTACAAAATCACAGTTAATAGAATTTTGTTTACAAACAAAATTATACTGCATAGTTTAATTTATCAGAGAGACAAATATTTATAATTAATTAAATGCTGATCTAAATATTTTAAATATAAAAGCAGCATTTTAAAAATTGAGTTAAGTCTGATTAGTGTTTTCTGTCAAAGTTATGCAAGGAAAGATATTTTAACGAGACCACTGATTGAGATTATTGTCGTAATGTTCAAAATAAATTAACAGATGATACTATATTGTATATTAAATTAGAAATTTTATTAAATTTTACATAGTACTTAAGTTTTTACAAGCATAATCAAAGTTTTTTTTTTCATTCCTCTTTTATGAAGTTGAAATTATAAAATACAAACAATTATTTTGGTTTAAGTTTAATTCAGGGATGTGATTTTTCACTTGTATATCTTAAATTTCAGCTTTTTTATCAAAAATTCAGATTTTCTAAAAATTTCACTTTTTTTTTATAAGTATTCCGATTTTTATAATTTTTTATAATTCACCGATTTTCAAAGAGAAACAGAAAATTCAAACTACATAGCTACCAATCCTTTCTCATTTTTACTTATTTTAACTATTTTCTCCCCTTTTACACGCAGCAGATAAGATTTTCCGAATTTTTTACCCGCCCTCCAGATAAATTCGATTTTCGTAGTTCAAACGACGCTGCTTCTGTCAAGCCTTTTAGAGGTCCCAAGCCTGGAATCTGCTAATATCTCGATTCTTATTCACATGATTTTAATATCAAACATAGCTTTTCATATTTGCCTGTTGTGATTCTTATTCACGTGATTTGAATATTGTACGTTGCGATTCTTATTTAAGAGATTTAAAAATCCGATATTGTGATTCGTATTTACGCCTTTTTAAAAACCTATGTAGCGATTCTTATTCACTCAAGTTTAAAATTCAATGTCTTGATTTGCTCATGCGGTTTATAATATCAAACATTGATTTTCGTATTTATACGTGATTTTAAAATAAGGCATTGGGATTCGCATTCACGCATTCTAAAAATTAGTCATCATAATTCTTATTTATGCAATCTAAAAATTACGCATCATGATTTGTATTTACGCAATCTAAAAATTATGAATCGTGATTTGTATTTACGCGTTTTAAAAATTCTATATCCCAGTTTGTATTTTCTCATTTTCAAAATCGTATATCTAGTTTCATGTTCATGTCATTTCAAAATCCATAATTGTTATTCATATTCACACAATTTTAAGATCAACTATCGCGATTCTTGGTAAGAAATAAATTTTTTTTTAATTAGTTACTATAAAAGTGACTGTTTTTCTAACGACGATTATTATATATATGTAAGTGTTACAACATCAGAGAAACTGGAAGGGAATATATTCAAAACTTACATTCTGTGCTTGCAAAGAAGAAAAAATAGGATTTGTCACAAAATGTTTGAAGATGGACTAACGACTAAATATACCAAACATAAAAGATATAGCAAATAAAAGCAATCACTTAAGAAGGGATTTAATTTAAATTTTTTTTTTGGAAAAAGAGTTAATTAACTCATTATCAAAATTTTATTTATAATTGCTGTTATTTATGCTATAAAATGCAAAATTCTTATCAAATAAAAAACAATTATCTAAACAGTTGCTGATTGTCATGTAATTTTTCAAACTAAAATA